TTATTATTCTTTAAATATTCTCAATATTTTCTTCAAAATTAATCTTCTGAAACAATGTTTACATAAGTTTAATGAGGAATATTTTGGTGTAGACATTAAAATAATTGGCTTTGAATGTAGCATTGTGCATTATTTTTCCAACATTTGCAATTAATGTAGATAATTGTTTACCTGGACGGAAAGTTTTCTTGAACATCTTCCAAAGTTAAGAAATATTTTAACCCGATATTAATCTAGTTGTATGGATTGAAAACTAGTAAACTGTATTAAGATACCTAGGTTATTGGTATTAACAAATTTGATGTATTTCTGTCATGTCGCTGCATTAAATTAACTTTATAGTTAGTGTTAGGAGTATCGTGGAAACTACTTTGCAACAATTGTGTTGTTAACAATTTATGTTGTTAGGATTTTTTCACTATATTATTAAAAGATTGTTGAGAGATGTGTACTTTAGCCTACTTGACTTACTGATTTTATTTGTGCAACTTGTTTTGACGGTGTTGAAACTTTGTTTTTCCTATTCATGAGGGCCTAGACAATAATCTTATGTTTTGTAAAGGAGCTTTAAAACAATTTGCTTAATTTACTGAAATCTTGTAACATTTCTCTAGTCATATCCATTATTTTGTGGTAAAATAGATTCATCTCCTGGAAAAGTACTTCCTCCAGTTTTATAGAATTTCCTCATCACAATATTTCTGTAGAGGTATTGTAAATTGTTGCCAATGAAAGGAAGGAATGGGGAAAATTATTTTGATGAAATAAGAGTTGTTCTATTTATATGGATTAGATAAATTGTGTGCAAGAAAATGTGTGACTGATGCTTGCAGTTATATTTAAGTTGGCATATCTCCTGTGTGATTATTATTTGATGTTTACATTCACTCTGTGATGTGATTGGATGTGATGTGATGTGATGTCATTCCGCATCTATAGTTCACTTCCCTCTCATCTCAACCTGCGTTGATGCTGTTTGCTGTTGTCATTTGCAAACTGTTGCCTTCGTCTGCCCCAGACCCCCTTCTTACCTATGCTTGAACCATATTGGATCAAGACCCAAGTATCGCTGTTGCTGCTACAGTTGTTGATATTTACTATTCAGACATTTCCTCATCTCTTAAGATAGTGCTTCTAATTATTAATTTAGAATTAGGATTATTTTGATCTTTCAGTGAAGTTAAATTTAGAGTAAATTATTGATTTTTCTGAATTATTGGTGTATACTCATTCATGCTATTCTACACCAAGTGAGAACATACAGATTATGGCAGTGTTGGTAATGCAAAATATTGTGCTTAATTCTTCTATAATCCTTAAATATGATTAAGCATTCAATGTACCATAGACCCTGAATTAAATTTTTTAAACAAAATAAGAAGTGTTTTTATTTTACAATTTACTAAGATTCCAGAATTGTTGAAGATACTGTAGTATCAGATCTTCAAATATTATATTATTGTGCTAATCATGTTCCTTCTCTCTGCTAATACTGTATGGATATCCGTATGCTCTTTGTTAATGGTTTTTCACAATTATATTAGGGGAAATATCAAAATCAGTTGCTATTAAAGAATATACAAATAATATTAATAATTTGGCATTATTTTATACATTCAATAATTCAATTCTACATTGCTCAGTTCATTATTATATCATGTTGTTTTTATTAGTTTGATATTAAGGAGGAAATTGTTGTCTTTGTTATGATAGAGATATAATAATTTATCAGAAAATTTCAGGAACTCTTGCAGTGCATCTTCACTGAAAGATCAGAAATTTCAGAGTTTTTAAAAATAAAATAGCTTCCTAGTTCAATTAGAATTGAATTTTTCATATTGTTGCATTGTGATGATGGGGTGAGACATTACATAAACATTTTTTAAACTAAGGTACCTTCAGAAATGAACAAGCTGTTCAATAACTTGATAGTAGATGTAAGAAAGTTTCAAGTCAAAAAATTAAAAATAAAACGTAAGCTATTGCGTATCAGCTTGTATGTTTGTGGTGGTATCTAGCCAAAGTAAGTAAGTATATTGTGTGTAAGAGTTGCCAACGTTCTTCAATTTTTAAAAATAAATATCTTATATTTTGCTTCTATTTTTGAAAATGAACTTTATTCTACAAACACAATTCAACCAGTGAATTGAAATTATTTCAATGACAGTTGGCAATTCTGAGTCTTATATCTTGAGTACTTGATACAGATATTTTTGCAATTTGCATTTCTGCTGTAAAATACAGCCTACATATCCTTTTTTTATTTCTGAAAGCATGATGAGGCATTCAATTGTGTAATTTATTTTGCTTTATTTGTTTTATTAGAGCATTTCATTCTTATCAAAAATGTGTATGGGGACTCAAGTCATAAGATGTTATACGGTTTTGGCAGCTCCGAAGCCACCTAAAGGAACTTGATTCTCTTTCCTCCATATTGCCTCCTCTGCTACTTAGTTTGTCTGTTTCCTTAGAAATAAAACATGCCATTTTTTGCCAGTACTAATATATTTGTGCTGATTTGATAAGATTTGTCACATTTGTGAAGGTATCTATGTAGTTCAGAGCATTTTGTGTGCTAAAAATGTTTTAATTTGAGGTTTGTTGCAAACCTAGTTTTCTTAGATCTTCGGTTTGACAGTACATTTATTAACTCTCTTCAATGCAAGTCAACATGCATCCCACTGGATTGCATGATGCATGATTAGAGTGCATATATTTTGAATTTTGATCCCTGTGTATGGTTTTCAAATGGAGGAAGGAGTACTTTAAGTTCTAATTGGTGTGCTGCATTTTTTCAGTGATACCAATTCCATCCATCACTTTCTCCAACTCCTTTTGCCTGTAGTTATAACCCATGTGAATAATACCTAAATAAGTGCATTGTGCTTACTGAAATGTAATATTAATAAAAGTAGTTCTTATTGTGAAATGCTTTCTGGACAGCTATTTTGTTCTGAATATTTTTTCTGACTCTTCGTACTTGCCTTTGTGTTCTTTCTCGTGACATCAGTATGTTACTGATATTATGTTCATCTTGGGTGTTATTAATTTTATTGAAATTGCAAATGGGTATAACCCGGTGGCAGCTAAGCTTATTTTATCACTCTATTGCATATAGAACTTCACTTACAAAAAAATTTACATTTCTTATTGAAATGAAAATACTTCACTTTATTTGAGGTTATTCTGGCCTGAGGTTTCTAGCCAGCTATGGGGCTTATATCTTTCTCATATTGATACAAAAATATTAGAAACACACTTAAATTGAAAGGACACTTAATGATTGCAATTTCCATTTTAAGAATTGTCCAGGTCTGTTCTATTATGTTTTTTTGTGGTCATTCATTTTCCAAGCTATTCTGCTTAGTTACTAATGAATATAAAATATTACACTGGATATTTTCTCTTTTTTTTTACCACTGCAAGACTTCATATCATTGACTATTCCTTATTGCCATAGTGCCTCTGTGCCTTCATTCTTGGTACTTTTTCTTATAATTTGCTCTTGTTCTTTCTCTTGCTTTTTCTGGATTTATTTTCTTTAGGATATCATCCTATTCGCTTTCATGCTTCCCTATTTGTCTTTTCTGTAGCTGACACTTTCTTCTTCTATTTTTCTTTTATTGCCTCCTACTGTTTTATCTATGTTCCTTATTTCTGTATAAATTCTTTATCCTATCTACTCTTATCTCTCTTCTCATTTTCTTTCCCAATATATTTATTGAATTGAATATATGCCTTATAATTTGCCAAAAAATAAAATCCTGCATTGAAATCAACAGCATTATAAATCACATGTGAATATATTATTTCTACATATAGCATAAATGTGATAATTAATACTATGTAATAGAAAGGGAATTACCATGGTCTCATGGGAGTAAAATTATCTCTTTTTTAGGTAAAGGATTATTTTGATACATTCATCACAGAACTTTTAAATAATATTACTGTTCCTTTGAAATATCATGGAGTCCAATTGTGAATTATGAGACATATTCTTGTATTATTAAGTACCTTTCACGAACCATGCCTCTTCTTTTTTCCCTTTTTTCTTTTTCTTATTTTTTTTTTGTTTTGAGAATTGTGTGCGATCACCAGTGCTGTGCTTTAACTTGAGAAATATTTAGCTTTTCCTGTAACAAGTTGTCCTATCATTTTGTTTGCAAATTTGTGTAGATATTTCCATTGCATTTCGATGAGTTTCTCATATATTATTTCATAAACTATTTTTCTCTTTCATTACCCAGTCTCTTTGCTTGAATCATGTACAGCAGTATAACATGGTGCCAAGGTACCTTGTTTTAGCTTTTAGAAAAAAGTGTAATATGTCATCTTTTCAAATAAAACAATTTTATTACACTTTATTAAATGTTGTTTGCACTTTTTTGTGATCTCTAAATGTCTTTGTGATTTAAGGCAGTTCAAGTACATCATTTCAGCACTTGATCTTCTGTAGGCATTTAGAAGCACTTTACTAGGGCCTGTTTTCATATTTTTAACAATTCTTATATTAATTTTGTACTACACTCCTTGACAAATTATTCCTAAACCTTTCATCATTTTGTATCGTTATCCACCTCCTTTGTTTTCCATTCACATTATCCAATACCTTTTATTGTGACTGACAGACTAAATTTGGAAATAATTGCGTAGTTGGGCGACTCACTTAATGACTTTAAAGACTGGTTCTCCTTGTTTTTTACTAATATGCAGTAGCCTTGAACCTTTTTTCTATATCATATGTTTCTTCTTTTGTCTTGATTGCATCTTATGGAGAGTGAACGAGAAGGGGTTGTTTTGATAGGGACCTAATGGGTAGCAATTTAAAGTCCTACATTGTTCATGGTACCCCTCCTTTCCTGCAGTCCTTCCGTGCCAGTCTCATTGTTTCCTAGCCAAGTGCGCCGTGGTAAGACGGCCTCCAGCTCACTCTCTCTCTCTCAAGTATTCTCCCTCACTGCTTACTAACGGCCCTCCAATGCTACGCAACACCGCAGGCGGCTACCACTCCCCGCTGCCCTGCTCGTCGACACCACCCCCCGCGTTCGAAGACGCCGTGCGGACGGATATCGTGGTGGAGTCCGCGCCCGCCCACGCGCCCTCCACGGCCTCCCCGTCGCCCGTCCCCTCCTCCGGCGCTGCGTCAGGCGGTGGCGGCGGCAGAGCCCACTCTGGCGGGTCGGCCTTGCTCCGCGGTCTTCACCACACCGGCGGAGGCCACCACGTGGCTGCACGTGCATACCGCACGGATGCGGGTGCAGAAACTGTTAGGTGCGTATTTTATTTAATTTCTCTCTCCCTCCCCCTCTTTCTCTTATCTTTCTCTCTTCTCTCTAATTGTAAGACATGGTAAAGACATTTTGTGCGCTTTGGCGGCCAAGTTTTGTGTATTGTATGTGTCAAACATTGAAACTCCGTACTCCCACGAAATCCTGAGGGCACGGGCATGCCGAAATTAGTTCGCCGCTATCGGTGGAGATCGAGGTTTACTTTACGGTCTAGATGGATGATCGGGAGAAAATGCTAATGGGGTCGTGGTTGCAGTCTTGAATAAAGACCAGAGGTTGAAGCGAGCGAACTAGTTGTGTGGACTGCTGTGCGCCTACCTCGCACTTGTCCTTTACTAGGGAGAATTCACCCTAGGGTGGGCGCTAATCTCTATCCGCGCCCTCGCGGACGTACAAGGACACCCTTGGATTGGTATCTGGATCCCGCCAGAACGAAGTTTTCCCTCTTGATAACCTCCCCATACAATGGCTGGGTCGGGCCGCCCTGCCAACTCAGATCTCCTTACTATCCAGTGTAGAACCGGAATCTAGACAATGCGACTCACATGCGCCGAGACAAGTCCCTCTATGCCCAGAGTTTTGCGCCACTGCCACGACAAAGTCAAGAGCCCAACAGGGGACCACCCGAACTATGGTTCGAGCTGCTTGCCCCCCCCCCCCCTTTCCCGTCTCCTTACTGCATACACCGTTAGGCTATTGATCGCCAGAATATATTGATTTAGGCTGAGTATCGCCAAAACCTAGACAACCTGGCGGGTGATATCAGGTTCCCGCCGGACTTCTATCTGTGGATTCCAGAGCATTCCGAAGAATCTTCTCCCAATCCTGCCCAAAGGTCGACGCGCCAGGGGCCCGATTGGTAGGTTACCGAGCAAAACCCGGCAACCAGGAGCTTAGCATCGCCTACTTACTGCCTCCACCTTGAAGCTATCGACGTGAGTGTTTCCGTGATACTCGGGGTCCGGGTGGTCGTCTACAACTCTCCACCAGAAATCGTGCCCAACTACGCAGATGCGATTCAGTTTGGCAGTCTGCCGATAGGATGAATCAACACATTTTTGAGTTTGCCAATCAGATGCAAGACATCACGATACCCGCCCAGCTAGAATGAAGGAAAAAGTCTTTCGTTACCCCGATGTAAACAGCAAGGATAAATTGCTGCGAGCGTGTACGGCCACACTGAACTCTATAGATTTGTTTGTTTGATACCAAGGCGACCAAAAGCATCGATCGGCACCGCAAGCAAAGAAACATCTTCGGCATATCCGTACCCACAATTTCTACCTAGTAGGCCGCCCTCGCGGTGTCTCGGTTGCTATTATAACTGTTTCGAAATCTTAGGTCATGTTGCGTATGATGAATAGCGTAATGCTGCAAACGCACCAAACTAGAAGGTGGTGACGACAGTTCGCGATCTCTTCGCCTCGCGCTAGATCGGGATTTGGCTAGATTAAAAAAAAATGGGGTGGGAGCGATGGACAAGAGAATATTTGGCACGAGAACATTCAAACCAAAGTTACGAAAACCTTTTTACTTAACATTTTGGGATACCCTTGTACATTTTGACACATTTTCACTTCGATAAGTAAAGAAAGTCCTTAATATGTATTACTTAATTTATTTTTTGGTTCGATGTAAAATAAGCTATTATTTGTACTGTCAAAAACTTAACTAAATAATCACACAACATTAAGAGTGATCGTTTCTTACACTTCAGACGGCCCTTGGAAGGATTTACATGAGCCAAAGTAAAAAGTTAGATTTACAAATGTATCTTAAATAATATTTATATAAAATATAGTTACCGTACTTTGGAAACAGGTTTGACATGGACATAGGCATAAATATAAATTCTTTATGAGAAAACATTATATTGACTGAACAGTATTGTCTAATTTAAATATAGCGACTCCCCAAACTCAGGAGCTGGAAGGAGAGATGACACTGTCAAATTAGGAGCTTCAATACCAAAAATGAAGTCACAACGAAGCCCCTGATTGGATGACAGAGTCCTCTCCTTCCGGCTAATTTGAGAGTCACTATATTTAAATTGGAAAATATACCTGTGTAGTCCTCCCCTTCCTCGAGAGAAAAATCGCCGTCTTAGGTGTCTGGGCATCAACTGATGGTACTGCGGTGCTTGTGACTGGGACCTCTTAGGGTTCGAGTCTCAACGGTGCCAGGATTGTTGACAGCTAGGTAGTCGAATTCAGCCGCGATCTCGAGAAGAATTCAAGCGACCAGCTGAACTCTGATTAGTAGTTTGCCATGGCTTCTCCGTACCAGCACCCGGCAAATGCCGTAGCCGTACCTTGAAAAACGGGCCATGGGCCGCGCGCGATCTTTCCTTCTTCCTTGACCTATCCTCACCCCCCTTACACACACACTTACATGCACCACTCTACCATACGTGTCTGGAGCTTAGAGTTTAGGGTTCCTGACTAGGGTGATGCCCCGTTGGAGGGAGATCCTTGGTTGGGGAAAACCTCCACAAGCTGACGTGTAGATCGACGCCGAATCTCACCGTCCGGGGACGGAGACTCCCTATTTAGAATTGGGGAATATTGTGATTTGTATTTTCCACGATTCAAAAAAACACCCCGCCATTATTGGTATCTAATGAAGAATGATTTTATTTGATTTGAAAATAGTTTGCAGGGGTATAAACATGACGTAATATCACTTTCAGGAGTTAAAAAAACATAACAATTGTACTGTCCAATGAATAAAAAAAACTTTTTTTAAACTGAAGAGCTTGCCTTACGAAGAGGTTAAACTATTGTTGAAAGTGTTAATTGTACTCTATTGTAAAAATATTTTCAAATCTGATATTTCACTATTTCGATTGGAACCATTGCCCAATCGAACGCATTGCATTTTAGTATACTAGTAGAAGCTACTTGTAAAAAAATGACGGGACGACAGTGGCGGAGGGAACGGGAGTTGGGCGGGATGAAAGTGACGAGACGTAACTGCCTGATCGATTTTAATTTCTTATGAGGACGTCCTATCTGAAAAATATTGTTTTGGCATCTTATCCTTAAACCTTAAGTGCTATTGCCAATTGTTCAAGCTTTGTGTTACAATCACGGGGGCGCAGGAAATTGTGTTATAGATTATGCCAATGTATGTTGTACCAAACTTTGTTCTTGACGTTTGAAAGTCGTAATGTCACAGGCAGTAGTTTCCTAGTAACACGCAATAATAATGTTTTTTCTAGTGACGTAATCTACCCTCGTTGACACCAACTCGGTATGAAGAAGTGAAAAGGATAGAGCGTCGTATCCTCTGAACGCTTCTTACATGCATTGATAACGCCCAATTTAAAATTATCACGTCATTAAAAGTATGGGTAGTGTATGCATCTAAATGAACAGTCCAGGACTGAAATGTGGAATTCGCTTTCGATTGCCCACGGAAGATCATGCAGCGGGTAAGCCAGTAGGAGGAGGCAACGGTACCTGTGCCGAGTCCAAACTGTTAATGACTAAGAAGAACAGTGTAGTTTATAATGTTAGGCTTTATTGCACAAGTACGTATGACGTTAGGGTGCGAGTTTTTAAATTTGTTGGAATGCAATAAAGCAACATTATAAACGAGCTACATATGCTGTTTTTGTGTAACAAATGAAATTGATAAAAAAAACTGAAGTTAATTTTGTAGTAAAGTTTTGTAGTACCTCCCTTGATTTTGCTCGTTACGATTTGCTGTGTGATGCAGTTATTCGTGGCCTAATTCGCTAATATCTAATAGGCTCTGCCATAAACAGGACATCCAGAAGGGGGGGGGGCAGCGGGGGCAATTTGCCCTTGGCACCGACTTAATTGAGTCCCCAAATTTTTAATAATAATAATGTATAATATTGATATATAATGTGTATTATAATTATAATTTATTTATTAAAATGTAAATTAAATATAATTATATCATTATTATTCACTTGATTGGCCGCATTGGACCACTTGAGTCGTTCCACTTCACTTTTTACTGTTCATGGTCGACTGTCGAAGGTTTTCACCTTGAGGTGAGGATAAATCCTCGAGTTACAATTCTGAATGTTATTCAGAAAGGTGATAATGAGAGATGGAGGATGATGAATGATAGAGGGTGAAAGAACACAATACAACCGTCCCCGAGGCGGGACTCGAACCCGCAATCTTTCGATACGAGATCGCTACGGCACTACTGCCTTAGCGATCTCGGCCACCGGATCGGCATAATTATATAATAATAATAATAATAATAATAATAATAATAATAATGACTCTATGTATGTGGCTTTTTTTATTTCATTGGAAAGAAATGAATAATATATTTATCTCTAATTCAAATTTAACACTATAAGTTATTTCTGATGCATGGAGAAATGAATTCTGTCATGCCCCAGACCCTTGGTTTTCTCTGGATGCCCCTGGCCATAAAATGCCATAATATGAACGGTTTCTTACGGAGAGAAAAAAACATGTATCTACTACGATTATAATAGTTATTTTTCACTAATGCTTATTCCCCCCTTCCATTGCTAGTATTCACGCAGCGCCATTTCCGAGAGTGAATGTCAGAAGGCTATGACTGACGATGAAGCAGTGATAATAAATCCATTATAGTACGAGTGTTATAATGTAGCTTCTTATAGCGCACGCATGAGTGCGCTAAACAAACATCACAATGTCCTAAAAATGTATTTAAATATCCATGTTCCCAATTATTCTGAATGTCAAGCGTAAACATCACGTACTTTTACTGTACACCCTCTTTTAAACATACCAGTAATAGGTAGTTATTAACAACCATACTTAGTTGTCTGCTGGGTATCCGTAAGATTTCTTTTTCATTTCAGTGTCAATTAGTCCAAACAAACTTAATAGTTTAAGACTATTCAAATTGTGTCTACACAATGCTCATGTTATTTTTTCATTTCTTGCAGTGTGTCAGATGTGCGGCTGGAGGCACGTGCAGAACACCATAAATCATCATCGCTGAGTGTTGAGTCGAGTTCTAGCACTTCTGGATTTGGTTCTTCGGCGGGTGGAGGAGGTGGAGGTGGAGGCGGCCGCACTTTAACGTGGACTCCTCCTGCCAGTGTGGAAGGTAGCACTCCTACATGGACAGAGGGTACTCCCTCCTTTACCGAATCATCCAGCAGCGGAGACGTTGGTGAGTTTTTGTGTCCGCTTGATTTTTGTATGAAACAGTGTAATATACATATTACAAAAAGTATTGCGTAGCGTGAGGAGTTAAACAGAATGTTCGAGAAAGGGTAACCGAACTTTCGCAAAAAGATTTTTGCATATTGCAGATTTTTAACTTCGCACAAATAAAGTTAGTGGCTTTCACCTTCGGCGAAACGTAATTTATGCTTTACAAGTGGTAATGAGAGACGTATACAAATGGGCGTCTTGGGGACGAGTGCACCAGGTCGTCCTCTCTCGCATTACCTACTCCACGCTGCGGTGTTGGAAACGTACATCGAAAGTGGAAGAGAACGTCTAAGTTGTGTGACCAATGCGCACTAGCGACTTACAAACATTTCCACGAGAACCACGTGTAAGATATTTTCTCTGACAGCTTAGTTTGTGACGTGTTTGGACATTATTATACCCGATGACTCCGTAGCCCCACTGTGGCGGGTCTGCCCCTCGTGTGTTGCAGATTGTCCGTTCGTTGTTTGTTTGATCGTCGCATGGAGTCACCTCGTTGACGTTGCCCAATGCCGTCAGCTTCGTTACACACAAAGCCTTAATACAAGGAGAACGGTATAACATCGCCCACCTCAAATAAAGCGACCAATGTGCTCTTACGGACAGTCCCGTTCAGATTTTAAAAGTGGTTAGAAAGTGTTCGATCATACTCTTCTTTTTTTTTTTCTCCTTCCTTCTTTCAAATCTAGTCTCGGCATTCCATTCGTTAGTGAAGTCGTAGACCGGTATCTCCGTTGTTAAAAGATGCCAAACCGGGGGTCTGATTTCATGGCGTCATGTATGTGATAGTGATTCGTCGGGAATGGATTGTGAACTAGCGCGGTCTGTGGTTCGGTCTCCGTTCCTAGTTAGCAGCACTAAGGTAATCTTGGATGTGGTGATTATTTTTGTTGAGAATATTGATGATATTAAAGGACTCTTGGACGTGCCCCAATAGCGATTCGGCACGGCGTGGATTTTCGAGCCTCAAATATCCGCCTTTCACAACCACGCTCGACACCCCCCCCTTCTCTCTCTCTCTCTCTCTCTCTCTCTCTCTCTCTCTCACACACACACACACACACACACACACACACACACACACACACACGCACACACACATCGGAGTTCATGAAGTCGCCAGGCTTTCACCGAGCTTATGGCTCTTTTTACTGTTATTACAACATGCAAGTAAAACATTTCGTATGATATTTGAAGTAAAGGTTTCTGTGGGAATTTTGTGTTTCTTATATGGATAAAAATTAAATGGTTTCTCATTTTGAATAATTTTTCACCGAATACAAGTTTTTGTACATTCTTAACAAGCCGCCATTTTAGTCTTGTAACTAGAGTTGCAGAATCTACGTACGGACTGATGAAAATTCGTCCAATGTATTAGATCACACTCTAGTTTTGAAAGTACAATAAGGATAAGAATTGATGAAACAAGACGTACAATAAATGCTCTTGCATTAAGCATTCAGCATTTATTACTGCAATTTGTGCATTTTTTACTTGCAATTGCAAAAATATTTTACATTTGTGATCTGTTGACCACAGTCATAAGTCAGCTATAGAGAATTTACCGTAAAGACTGTTATTGCTCATTTCTACGCAGTACTGAATAAGTGACTAGATATGTTGGAAGTATAAAAATAATTTGCTATAAACATTTCACAATATTTATTGCAACAGAATAATTTATTTCAATTATTAATATGAATATTGCTTATGAATTTAGTTAGATATAACCTGTGATGATTGGTTGAAATAAATGCTGGGAGGTATTTATAACCTGGATTTGTGATAGTTTATTTGTGAAAACTATGTAATCAGGAAACATGATGTGCAGTACTGACACAAAATTACCAGTTTCTTTATTTATTTTACTTTGTGCATTGTATTGATCATTTTATTTTCTAGTCATTTTGTTATAACTTTCATTGTTATTACAAAGAAATAAACAAAATACTTTTCTGTGTTTATACATTCCCAATTTTAAATAATATTTTGTAAGAAGAAATCTTATCTGGTAATATGATTTTATTTTTAATTTTTGGAAATTGTCTTCTTAATTTGTCTTTTTTCTTTTTTTTCCAACCAAAGAAGAAATAACAATTTTATTTTTTTAAACTCGCTCCTGTACAGAGAGATATTCAGACATCCTTATTCTCTTCTGTTTTTAATTTTTTCATCACTCTCACCTTTCCTCACTCTCACCTTTCCTCACTCTCACCTTTCCTCACTCTCACCTTTCCTCAC